GCCACGGTTACACCAATCGGATTTTTCTTACAAATGGTAAGCACCCAGAATGTCCCCAGGGGCTCTTCTGCCCTAACTTGAAATCGACTCACAGCCCCTGGGTCTCCGAGGATGGGACGATAAGATCTTAAAAAAAATAAACCATTTTTAACTTTACCACCTTTAACTTCTTGATTGCTGTGAGATTTGCTGTGATAATTTAATTGTCACGCCATCCAGAGCTAAGTGATTAGATTGATGTTTCGCACAACAGAAAACTTATTCTATCAACAATCACAGTCTTGGCCCTCGAGCTGCAGTGAGAGTAAATTATAAAAAAGCTAGTTAGAAATTAATACCTGTGACTCTGACACGCTTTCGTTGCAACTTCCCACTGGACACTCTGCTAGTGAATTACTATTCCTTGAGGAAGTGAATGAAATATAAATGAATCAATTTGTGTATTATCGTAAACAGTACCCTTCCATTGAAAGTGTTTAATAACCCGTGGACGTCACCAGCCACCTCGATGCCAGGAATTCTCTTCTTTCCTTTAAAGTTAGGAGGAATAAACCGTATTTTGACGGTACTCTCGCATTCGGAATGTTTTTACTGGAAAGGGTAGTCCGTAATTCTGTGAAGTATCCTGAATCATATGAGCCCACGAGAAGAAAACTTTCGAGCATTTCCTTCAACTCGTCGAAATAACCTAAATAGCGCCGGTTTTCTAAACTAAATTATCAAGGTGTTTCTCAAGGAAATCGATGAAGTCGATTCAACATTCGCTGCCCTGGAGTTTATTCGTCTACATATAATAATTTCGCGGGCTTCTGCGAACTTCACAGTTTAAACACTGACCAAAATTATTGTGCACTCTGACACAGCACAAGCACAGCAGATATCTGCTGAAGATGGCCTGTACTGCCCTTTGCAGATCAGGCATTTAGATTTAGACACAGGGTTGGCGAAATCCTCTGCATTTCTGCACGTTTCCACGTTTCCGAAAAAAATATTTCCTAATTTTTTGTTAAAAATATCTTTTAATCCAAGGTATGAATAGTGTATCAAATAAATCTTCCCAGAAAACTGGGCATGGCTGGCAAGCAATTAGACCGACATATAAAATCGTTCATGTGATATGCTGCTGATA